GTATCAACTAGGTTTATTATTTTCGCGGAAAGTTCAAAATAGAATTTATTAAATGAATCAGCATATGTATGCATGAAATAATAAAGTAGCCGATATCAACCATGAGAAAAACATGATTGTTTGATGGTTTGACTGGACGCTTACACGTTGTAATAGTTGAAAACGCCTGAAACCTTGGTCTGTTTTGATTAACTGTCACGTAGGCGTGTATGTAACTTTATTGCGTCTACAACAGTCACTGGAGTGTCTAGAGGAAAGTGTTTGGGGATGTTGCAAAGTCCCTCGATAATTACGTGCGGGAGTTAGGTGTATGTAAATATATTGCGCCCGCTGTAAAACAGGGGGAGTCTTCAACTGCTCATGCGGCAGACAGCGTCTATACCCATTGCTTTTTTAGTGTGAGTTGTTATTGTCGTAACTCCTGCAAAATATTTGTATATATATGCTTCCTCTAGTGTGTTGAGTTTCACTTCAGCCAAACACAATAAGGAGACTATCATTGACAATGATTGGCATAATACTATATTAAATTTAAACAGATGAGTATGTTCAACTTTACTGAGAACAGTCAACCAAATATTGGAATGTTATATACACCAAGAGGATCTATAGACCAACACCATAAAACTGAATATGCACAAGAAAGGTAATGTTGACTTCCAAGATTGTTCTATCTACTGTACTTTGAGTCTTAATTATCTAAAAATAATTTTTGCCAAATGGATATTTAACTAAGGTTTCAATAGTTGTAATAATGAGGTTATTACGAGGATACCTCAATGTATGCACAAAGACAATACAGCGGGAGTATCGACCGACGTGCAGCGGAGGTCGATGCAACAGCGTACTGTTATCCTCATGATTACATTATTATACATCTTTTCCTTCCAAGAATACATAATGGGAATGCAGAAATCAAAAAAGTTTAGAGCAGAATCAGGAAACTTCTTTGTGTGGAGTCCAGTCGACCCTGCTGGCAGCCATGTTTGTCTTTATTATTAGAGGATGCTTATGCATGTAATCATTCCATATTTGGAATTCGCATTTCCCAATATGGTAGGATG